ATATAACCGCCATCCGCGCATCACTAGTGTGCATGCCTCCCAAGTCAAACATGTCAGAGCAATTAAAGAGATCAGACAGACCGAGCACAACTTTCCAATGATGCATTTCTCTTTACAACTGTTCAAACTGTGAAGAAATGGCAAGACCTCTCCAGTATATCACTCAATCACACACACTATATCTGGAGTCTTAAATTACTATAAACTAGACATAGTTTCATACATTATGATCGCTCAACTGTTAGTTTAACTGTATAATTTATATAAATTAACATCAAATTAATATACTATAATAATATAATATAATATTAATTTTTAATTATATACATTTACATTTAAATAATTATTTGTTATTCTTTTACTGGTCCCCAGGTAGTTCAAGAATATACTGACACAATATCCTGCAGTGCTCTGAGATTTCAGATGTCAATCGGAACTGAATGTGCTGCAGTTTTGTCAGAAAATGCATTCTGTGCTGGTGCAGCGTTGCGTTGCAATGCTGTCTGTCGGACAACTACAGTCTCCAGCTCTTTAACTGCTGCAGTGTGTGTGTGAGAGTGAGTGTGTGTGTGTAATATAATATAATATAATATAATATAATATAATATAATATAATATAATATAATATAATATAATATAATATAATATAATATAATATAATATAATATAATATAATATAATATAATATAATATAATATAATAAAATGTGACAAAAATACAACGTATATAATATAATATAATATAATATAATATAATATAATATAATATAATATAAGCAAAGCATAATTAATGCTGCATGAAAAAAAGAAAGTAAATAGATCAGAAATTAGTATGTTTCATGTCAATAAACATTATGAATTTGAATCATGACAGTTCTAGAAAATGTTGCAATACATCGCATTGCAAAATTTGCAGTCAAGAGTATATATTTCAAAAATGTTACCATGTGTGTTTATGTGATAGATAACAAAATTCTAACATCCACCATGAGAATCAGTCAAAAAACAACCAGTCCTGCAACAGTACTAGACTGAAAATATGACTGGCACATATTGTGTTCACACACACACACACACACACACACACACTAAATGTGTGTGTTTGTGTGGAGGTCTTTTTAGGTCAGTTTCAGGAATTGAGTCTGGCATCTCGCTCTGATGGAAATATGTTTGTATGTGTCTAAGACTAGTTCATCCCAGTCTTAGAGCTGTTATTAGGGTAGGTTCAGGATAATCCATTCACTCAAAAGAGGATTGAAACGTCGATCAGGTTTTGATGACTTAGATTCAGACCACTGTGTATACTGATGTCTGTAGTGTACTGGAAGACTTAGTGTACTGGATTTAGTGTGTCCGAGCTGTAAGTAGCCAGCGAAATATTCTAGAGATTAATTTCATTATTATTAAGAGGAGAGGAGCACATAATTCTCCCTCTTTTTGTCAGGCCATTATGAGGTCTCTCCAGGCTGTGGCCTACATCTCCACAATCACAATCAAAAATAGGAAAAAATGAAAATGAAGAGCAAGATAGAAGTTTGATTTTAGTGGTCTGTCGAATGCACCTCTCTCTCTCTCAATGAATGAATGAATTAATTAATTAATAAAAATAATTCAGGTACTGAACTTAAACTAAACTAAAAACTAGTATACTAAAACTAAAATGAAACAAAACCCTATGAAAAATGTTTTACTTGTTTTAGTATCATTGAGATACTATTATATTTTTCAAACAATATTTTAAATGAGTTTTTATTTATAGATTTGCTATTTCATTTTAATTTTAGATAAAGTTTTAGTAATTTTGTTGTTTTACTGTCATTTTTTGTTTTTATCGTTTTTTTTAATATGTCTATCTCATATTTTTATTTCAGTTTTAGTTTTACATCAAGTTAAACTAAAAGAAAATGAAAAACATGCAGTCATAAAATAATAAGTTTGTTTTTAATGTTTTATTTTAGTTCATGTTTATTTTATTTCAAGTAATGAAAATGTTTTTTAATGGTTTCAGCTTTAGTTAACTATAATAACCCTGACTTAAAAATAAATTAAATGTTAACTGAAATAAAATTTTAATATAAAATGTATATAAAATTTAAAAGTAATATAAAACCCTTTGTTTAAAAAAACTCTAGAATCAGTGACATTTCATGATAATGACATCCAAACTGGAAAAAGGTGCTTGCTTATTCATTCATTGCTCCATGAAAAAAAAAATTAATAATAATAATAATAACAATAACAGCATTCAGGTTTGGAAAAACATGAGGATGAGTAAATAATGACTATAAAAATAATAATAATTTTCAGATGTACTGTCTCTTCAAGAAAACTAAAGGCCCATTTAAACTGAAAGAATGCAGGATGGATGACAGTGAAGCGAAAAGGATGCATGAGAAGAAGTTGTTGAGGGTCGGGGTCCAGGGAAGATTGAGAGAGATGGAGGGAAGTGAACGAATGAAAGAAAGACTGGAACATGGTGAGAGAGCGATGGAAAAGTGCATAAGAGTTGTTAATCTCTTTCTCTCTGTTGCTCTGTGTCCTGCTGCCCGTCCATATGGCTGCATATATGTGTGTGAGAGAATGAAAATGAAAGAGGAAATTGGGTGCAAGGTGACTGACACATGCCATCATTCATATAATGGGATGGTTGGATTAAACAATAACCTCTGGATTGCTGTTATTGTGGCTGCATGGTTTATGTGTGAGTCTGTCAGCACAAAGGCATGGCTTATGACTTCAGACCACAGACTGCTGCTTTATCTCTAGCAGGAAAGCCTGTTTTAATTAACATCTGCCTAAGCCCATTAATGAAGGAACAGACAAGACCATTGTGTCGCATCTTTTTCTTTGTCTCAGACTCTCTCTTTCTCTCTGCATACAAACACACTGCACAGCACTGTGCAATCTTAACTAATATTATTATTGATATTAATATTGTTCTTATATTAACACAAATAGTATCATTTGCTACAGTGTTCAGAGTTCACTGAGGACTGTTTGGTCAACGCTGAAAAAAAAAAATGTCTTAATCAGTATTTTTTTAAGCAAAAACTCACTTAACTGTTTTTTTTTTTTTTTCAGAAAACAAAACTTAAGATCTTGTCATTTTGATTCTCAAGTAAATATCTGTTGTTTTGTTTTTCATTTTGTTTCATTTTCCAACAAACAAAAATCAACAACCCTTCATGAACCTGCCATTTACTTTTCTTCTCTCTCCACTTAGAGAAGAGTAAAACTTGGCTTTATTAGATATGCAACTCACTTAAGAGACTCTTCTTCACAACTTTATGAATGATGTAAGCGTTTAGACTGACAGACTCAAATCACGGGGGAAAGATGCTGAAGTGAATTGTCCCAACTCAGCTGACCACTGGTTGGTCTCCATGGAGCCCCTTTTTGTTATATAATATACAGGTGCATCTCAATAAACTGTAATGAGATGATGGTTCCCTCTCAGGTAATCACACTAATTGCTTTTGGTGGCCACAGAAGAGGCAAAGAGTGCCTTTCATTGACTATACAGTTCTTACCAGTTAGCTGTAAATGACTCCATCCATCCATCTATCCATCTTTCTATCAGTCTGTCTGTGGGTCTGTCTGTCAAGTAGTAGTTGTCATCACAAAAAACTCCTAAGCCGTAATTTTATCCTGACACATTGTCAATCGACCAGTGTGAGGCATGATTTGAGATCTTTCATCAGTACTGTAACAGAAGCTGATTGAAAGCAGCCGTTGCTCTTTTAGGGTGGTTATTAAGTTTGCACACCTGAGGCACTCCAATCAGTGGTCAGTAGTAAGTGAGATATATGGCCAGTGTCAAGCTCTCTGCCACACATACCTTTTCTCTCTTTCTCTCTCTTGTGGCATCTATGAGGGTGAAGACAGGCATGAATACTAAGACAAAATGCTTTATTTTAAACCAGGTCCCCAAGGCATGGCATCTGTCCTGGTGCTGTACACATATTTTTGGCTGTATGTGTCCGCCCATTGATTTATCTCTTCACAGCCAGCCCTCAGAGAGAGAGCTCTGCTCCAGCAGCCACCATAATGGTGCCATCATTCACTTTACAATTGTTTGAGATGATTTTATTGTTTTCTTGTTAGTAAAGGACTACAGCTTTTATCCAACTGTTTAGTATTGATGAAATTACCCAATTACATCAAGTGCGCAACTGGGAAGTCTGTCTCTATCTATCTATCTATCTATCTATTAATCTATCTATCTATCTGTCTGTCTGTCTGTCTGTCTGTCTCTCTGTCTGTCTACTATCCACCTCTGGGTAGCCCTGCCCACACTGAAACCTCATTGGTCCAAAATAAAACATCAAATATCTTCTGTCTGGATGTCACATTGGGTCACATTGTACAGCAGTTTCTAAGTTTTCATTCAGTGTGGACTGGCAAATTGCTTATCGCCAAATAGGACAGTGTGAAGCTCAGATTCAGAATGGAGGAAAACCTGAGACCTTCTATGAGGGTTTACTTGGGTTTACTCACTGTCTGTGTGTGTGAACATAATGACATTTGAGGAATGCTCTCAAGTACAGATTGAAGCCGCAGGTCTATTTCTGGATGTGTTCATATGTAATCTACAATAGCGTCTGCCTGTCAGTGTGTATGAGTACAGTAAGGTCATAAAGAGATGGCTTTAGCACATGATTAGTTTTGTAAGGTAAGGAATCTCATTTCAAAGGTGAGGTGTTTTATATTCTAGTCTTTGTGTTCGTTTGTCATGCTTCCTGGGGTGAAACCTCTTTGTTTGTTAGTCTCCTCTGAGACAATGCAGCATAATATATCAGCAACACAAGAATGTAGACTCACAAAAATCAATTACAAGTCCAAATACACCCTCTTGCAACAATGTAATTATTCAGTCTCCTCTATGTGACTTTGCTTTCCTAATTGGCACATAGATGATGACACGTTCATTGTAAGGTAATGTATCTTGCTGACCTACTTGTCGGTGTGTGTGTGTGTGTGTGTGTGTGTGTGTTTTCACAGGTGTAAAGGAGCGTCACATTATGGGCTCTCTGCAGAGAGAAAGCGGCGCTCTCAGGAGGGAGACTGCACAGACAGCACCTCAGAGCTCACTGTGGCAGCACTGCCCGGGGAGGGATGCCCCTCCTCCGCTATCGCCCTCCTATCAGACGAGCCCGGCCTGGTTAACCCTGCCTATGAGCCCAGTGTGGAAGATAACAGCCAATCCGGGAGCACCACCAGCCTGGCAGCACGCAGCGGTTCGAGGAAGAGTGAGTGTGAGTGCACACATTGTGCTTGTGTGTATTTGTCTAAATATTATATTTATAATATATATCTATCTATAATAATTTTATATGTATAATTTATATACATATTAATGTTAAATATAATTTTTTTGGTGACTGTTAAATATTACTTTTATTATATATTTATTTATATACAATACAATGACATTTATAATTTTTTTATTTTTACATTTTAGAACAAAATTTTGAAATTTAGAACAAATTCAGAACAAAATGTTATATACATAAACTTTTTTTTAGAATGAAAAAGGTAATTTTACCATTGAGGATATCCTTCACATATAACTATAAATCTTTGTCTTTTCCTCCTTCATATTTACTGAGACAGTTAATCTGACTAATGTATACATTGTTCAAAGTCGCCCTCTGTGCCATTTATGTAATTTTACGCAAAAATCTATTCAAACTGCATGTCTGAAAAGGCTCAGCTGAGACACACAATTGACACTGCAGTTAAAGAAATAAAGAGGAAGATATAGAGAAAGAGAAGAGTTCAAATATGCCTTATAAATACTTTATGAGGCCTGTTCCTGACCTCCACAAATTAGTTCAGATATGTTTCATTTTCTGACATCCCCTCGAAACGTAAAGCCTGGAGAATGGGGACAATAAATGCTGCTGCACCAGCATGTCTAGCTTTGGAACTGGAAACAGTGTGACACTGCAGCTGAACAAGCTGTCTGCCTCCAATCCGGCCAATGCTTCCGTCAGAACTTTGTCCATCAGGACAGAAAGACTGAAAGAATTGAGCAATGAGACAGAAAAAGTGTTTTAACCTTTACAGATCCAGCAAGTTTTGACACAGACTCTCAACTTCTAATAAATCCACAATTATAATAACTAACTTTAGGAACATAAAACAAACTTAACGGATCATTAGTTTGTCAAACACTCTGTAAGTTTTATATATTTTCTCCACTGATCACCTGTAGGGTGTTTAAAAATCTTGGCTGTATCGAATTAAAAGCTTGTATATAATATAGTTTTATTTTTGTCTGAAACTTTCATCTGTGATGACTTAAGTTACACAGACATGCAGAAAAAAGTGTCCTGCACTTTCTGTGCTGATTCAGGTCTGACCTGAAGAAGTTATAATCTTACTGCAGTGTCCACAATACAGCACCAGCAGGTGATGCTTCAGATGTTCATCGCTTGGCCTGCAGGTGCAATGTATTATGATGCTCAAAAAAAGAGAGACAATTTGATTGGCTACTGTGTGCCAACTCAATTCTGATTGGCTGAAAGTGGACAGCATAATGTGTGAGGGACATGTCCAGGCATGTTTAGTAGCAACGTTTCTTTCTCCTCCTTTCTTACTCAGTTCCTTCTCACATTCATTCACAGATCGCAACTTTGACAGAACTTCAGCGCGTAGTCGCTCTTTTCGCCGCCTGAATCGAGCCTTCAGTGTCCTGAGGAGGACCAAGAGTGGGACAGCAGTGGCCAATGAGACCACAGAGGAGCGAGACAACCTCAGAAACGCCAACATACCACCGGAGGGTGAGTGTGTGTCTTGCAAGTATTGTATTTGGGCATTTTTCAGCTGGTCAAGTTGGAATCCAGATGGTTAACCAGCTAAACGCCAACTTGGCTTGGCAAGAAGACCAGCTAGACCAGAAGATTACCAATGGGGTAAGCAGCTAGACAAAATTAAACCAGTTAAGAACAACAAACCAAATTGTTTTTTAGATGCACTGTGTTATAAAATTAGCATGTTTATAGCAAGCATGTTTATAAATATGAAAATAATTGCTAACTGTGTAGTGTAACTGTGCTGTTATGAAGCATTATTGCATAGCACCTCATAAAACATGAACTTTCCCATTAATATCATTCAATAGCATGCTAAACCAATATCAATGGATAGTAAAAGGAGAAAGGGAGTGTCAGAAGGTGACAGTCTGGTTTGGGTCCGCTCAGCCCCGCAGTAGCATATGGTCCTTTAATAATGCAGATGGAGCCTGAGGAGACTTGTCAGAGAGAGACAGAAAGGAAATGAAGCAGTGTGTCGGGACAGAGGGACTGGACAGATGAACGCTGAGGGAGAGGGTTGCTTTCTGAATGAAAACAAAAGAGAAAAAGAGTGCTTGGGAGATTGAAAATGAGTTAGGAAAATACTGATAAGCGTGTGTGTTCGTGATGTAACACCCTGGTTGCAGTAGTAATGAGCTTCACTTTCTCTCTCCCTGCAAGCAATCAGAGGCGATGAGAGGAAAATATTGACTTTGAAAGAGAGAAACTGCAAATTGTTGTGGAGAACAGGAGGATACAAGAGAGAGTGTGTGTAATGGAGAAAGAATGGATAGATAAAGATTAGGAAAGACATAAAGATTGTTACCGAATCCAGCTGTAGTATAGAGTCTGTTCAGGCACAGGTGCAGTACGAATTTTTCACCCTGAACAAATACAAATGTATACGCATATTATGAACAAATTTACAGTATGAACATACATGGTCAGTTGTTCAGTGATAAGTGAAGCCTTACTGTACGCTTCCTCTAACAGTGATTCTTCAGTGATCTTTCTCTTCCTCATGTAGTGATAATTTAAAAGAAAAATTAAAGAAATCAATATATAAATATACGTATTATATAGATGTATATATTTTTTTCACTTTATACACTACTGTTCAGAAGTTTTGGGTCGGTAAGATTATTTTATGTTTTTGAAAATAAGTCTTTTATGCTCAACAAAGCTGCATTTATTTGATCAAAAATCCAGTAATCCAGTCTTCAGTGTCACATGATCCTTCAGACTCATTTGATACTTAAGAAACATTTCTTAGTATTATCAATGTTGCACTGCTTCATATTTTTGTGGTGATGCATTTTTATGGATTATTTAATGAATAGAAAGTTCAAAAGAATGACATTTATTTTAAATAGAAATATTTTGTAACATAAATGTCTTTACTGTCACTTTTAATCGATTTAATGCATTCTTGCTTATTTTTTAAATTAATTTATATATTTTTTAAAATCTTACTGACCCCAGATTTTTTAATTATATACATCAAGAGTTAAACAAATTAGTGGATAAATGATTGAAATAAATGTTAACCCCATCACTGAATACATTGAATACATTTTCGGGAAGGCTTGGCCCCCCTTGCTTCCTCTGATGGATCACTGTAATGATTTTCTAAGGCTTGTTTGGCTCTGCTTTGATCTGGACAGATGCCCTTTTTGTGTAGCACAGAAAGTGATGATCATGTGAGAGTTCACGTGCAGGTTGGAGTAGAAAAAGGAAATTGTGTGCTGTACAAAAAAATTGATGCAGAATCCAAAATTTCGTGCTTTATTGGAAGGTGTAGAATATTTACAGTGAAGGACAAAACAAATATAAATGAAAACTGTACAAAAAGGAAATGAAACAGCAGCAATGTGCTAATTTGGCTAAACCAACTGGCCCAACTTTGCAACACTACTCAGACTTAAAGGGTTAGTTCACCCAAAAATAAAAATGAGGCTGTGTTTTACTCACCCCCGATGCATCCTAGGTGTATATGACTTTCTTCTTTCAGACGAATCCAGTCGGAGTTATATCAAAAATTGTCTTTGATCTTTCAAGCTCTATCGTTGTACTCAGCGGGTGTTGCATTCCTTCTGTCCAAAAGACGTGAAATAAAACGCACCCTTCCACAAAAAAAGTGTCTCACACGGCTCCGGGGGGTGAACAAAGGCCTCCTGTAGCGAATCGATGCGTTTTTGTAAGAAAAATATCCATATTCAAACCGTAATAATCACTTGAATCTAGCTTGCGCCAGCAGTTGTACACAGAAGCAGTTCCGGGAGCATGACGTATGGGGTCAGCGTTGCGCATGCGCCGGTGCGTCTCGTGAAAACCAACGTTTGTTTACAGGATCAAAGATTTACAAATCCTCGTTTTGTACTTCTAATTAGTGACCGTTGTTTTGTTTCGATCTCTCCGCGTGCGTCACTTCTGAGCGGCGCATGCGCAAAGCTGACCTCATGCGTCATTCCCCCGGAACTGCTTCCGTGTACAACAGTGAGCGCAAACTAGATTCAAGTGATTATTACGTATTTATATTTTTCTTACAAAAACGCATAGATTCGCTACAGGAGGCCTTTGTTCACCCCCCGGAGCCGTGTGAGACACTTTTTTTTTGTGGAAGGGTGCTTTTTATTTCACATCTTTTGAACTGAAGGAATGCAACACCCGCTGAGTACAACGATAGAGCTTGAAAGATCAAAGACAATTTTTGATATAACTCCGACTGGATTCGTCTGAAAGAAAAAAGTCATATACACCTAGGATGCAAACAGCCTCATTTTTATTTTTGGCTGAACTAACCCTTTAACTTCTCTGAGTCCACAAACAGAACTGAGTAAATTCAGGTAGCAAGCCAATTTATAGGCTGAAGCCCCACCTACAGGACAAACCAACATAATTGGAATAAACGGAAAAGTATGCAACAATCAAATTCAATATAAACACAAAACACAACAAGATTTAAACTTCCCAAATAATATAAGAAACATTAACAGAAGAGAGATTTATCAAGAAATTATAAGAGAAAAACAGCTGTTCCTAAATTCCCCCCTCTGACATCACACCAAAATGGTCGCTCCCACAGGAAGTGATGTGGCAGCAACTTTAAAAACCAGTTTGAACTAGATTATTGGTTTGGTTGTGTGATGAGTGAGAACCGAGAAGTTTAACTGCATTCAGATTTGTGAAAATAAAAAGTAATTGTCACATGAATTGTTGTGTGCTGGTATTTTGTTCTTGTAAAAAAAAAAAAGTTACATACTTATTGAAACAAACTATAAAGATAGAAGTAACAAACGTTGGACTAAAAATCTCCGTAACACCTGTCTGTTGGGTACACAGATGTTAAGTTTGCTGGCAATGAACAGTACAAGTGATATGGGTGTATATTTGTTAGACCACCTTTATCTAGAAAACAGGTTAGCCTGTGACAGACGCTCTCTTTTTCTCTCTCTCAGTATTTGCATTACCTCAGCTGCATCATCTAATCCCTGATGGTGAAGTCACCAGTATAAAGATCACAAGGGCAGATCCTTGTGAACCACTGGCTATTAGCATTGTTGGGGGCAATGAGACGCCTTTGGTTCGCATCCTCATTCAGGACATCTACAGAGAGGGCGTCATCGCTCGGGATGGAAGACTGCTACCTGGAGATATGATCCTCAAGGTGCGTATGTGCGCTAGATCTGATGTTACGTCATAGTACAGTAGGAGTGATTCATTCTGGTTTTGATAGCGCATGTTGTCATGGGCTTCACCATCTGTTGTTCAGAGGGGAAGTGTGTGAGGATTCTGCATGTAGCCAGACAGAATCAGATTTATTTATTTATTTATTTTAATGGAAATCTGTGGAATGGACTTCTTTTTCTTTTTTAAATTACTATTTTAATGTTATAGCTACTAACCAATAAATGGCCAATATATTAATAGATTAATAATAAAACACTCAAACATGTACATCACAACATGTACAGTATAAAAACAGATTTTTATTTTCAGATTTGCTAAAGACTTAGTCTAACTGTGTTGTTAATTTTTTTAAAGATTAACTTTGATTGGAAGACAATGGTAAAACCAATCCAAATGTAAAAATAAAGGAAATGAGCATTAGCACTTCAATAGCCAATGTAAATTGGGGAAGAAGAAAAAAAGCAGATCAACCGAAATGGTACCGGTACACTGTGCATCCCTAAAAATGAGAAAGCTGAGAGTACTAATTAATCAAATATTTAAATATTTAAATAGACACACATTTGCAGCACATTTGTCTTTTTCCAAATCACAGAATTGTAGAAAGACAGAAAGTATGTATTGTTATCTGAGCCATAACCTAATGATTCATGCAAAAACATCCGGCTTGGAACATTTTCGAATCACTTTCATCTTCCCTCACTGCTATCATTTCTTGTCCTCTCTCTACTTATATTAACATTTATGCTTTTTGCAGACACTTTCATCCAAAATGACTTGATGTCCATTTATACCAAGGACAACATTTAAAATCATTCTACATTTAAATGAATAGCAGAGTTCACACCACAACTATAATGATAAAGGCACAGAGGAACTATATCGTTGGAATCACTTTCAAAATGATTTTTTCCAACTGGTAAACAATAAAAACACTGACAGCCAATCAGAATCAATTCTACTTTAAAAAGCTCAAGTATTTAAAGTGGCAGACGACAGTTCCCTCCGAATTGAACCCATGACACTGGCATTTCTAGAATCATCCTTTACTGTGTGAGCTTTAAAAACGCAATACAAAAATATTGCAAACAAAAATATTTATCTTGATTTTGCTCTCTAATCTCATGCTGTCCTCCCTTCAGGTGAATGGTATAGACATCAGTAATGTGCCTCACTGTTATGCTGTGGCGGCTCTGAAGCAGCCCTGCACACTGCTGCGGTTAACCGTACTGCGAGAGCAGCGCCACCGTTACCGTTCCCATCATCACTCTCCCACCGAGGCCTTCCCCACCATCCGGGACGACAGCCTGCATGTGGTCCTCGTTAAGAGGGCTCCAGATGAACAGCTGGGAATCAAGCTGGTGCGCAGGCCTGACGAGCATGGCGTTTTTATCTTCCACCTGCTGGTGGGAGGGCTGGCCGCCCTTGACGGGAGGCTGACAGTAGACGACCGCGTTCTGGCCATCAATGGCCACGACCTGAGATATGGCGCTCCCGAGCATGCTGCGCTGCTTATTCAGGTGAGCAGCATTATGGGAGGTCAAAAGTAATGTGATGAGTATTAAGGCTTGTGCATAACCAACAGACGAAACGGTGACAACGGCACAAATCAAAAGTGTAAATATGCATCAGAACTGTTCAAAACAAATGCAATTTAAAGTCAATCCCTGATAAAAGTGTCCATAAATGAAAATGAAATGCAGTCTGTTCATGCTAAAAAACAAAATACAGCCCATCTGACAACATGGATTTTGTTTGCTTTGATGCAAAATGCAGTCCAACTGACAATAGCGACGTTCATGCAGTAAACCTTAAATTGCAATGAAATTGCATCACCAAAATGCAGTTAAAACCCCTTTAAATGGCCTTTAAAGAGATGTGCGATAGTGAGAGAATCAGTTTTGGTCTTTCTTCATCCTCTCAGATTCTAAGAGGCGCTTTATTCTTTAGTTACTTTTGTCTGTACAATTTCACCAACATTTTTTTTCCACAACAGAAATAATTAAACCATTAATTTCATGGCTGTGTTCACTCACAGCATCAATATGAAGCTTTTCCGGCAATGCTACAAATTTTGCCAAACTGCCAAAGCTTATTTCAGGTTTTGTTCACATGTGATCTCTACATTAAATGTTTCTAAATGTATGGAAAGCCTGTTCAAAAACAAAACAAAACAGACAACCAACAATTAAAAAAACAAAGCAAAACAAAACCCTTATGTGACAAAAAGCAACAGCCAAGACATTTATTTTTGATGCAATGCTTCAGGGGTTGACATTTATAAAGCCTAAAATTATTTGAAGTCATGCTAAAAAATGTAAGCACTTTTATTGCTAAGCCTTTTCAGCATTTCAAAGAACGAATGTTTACAAAGCCTTCTAATCCTAACCTGTGGCATCTAATTCAGTGATTCATTCCTTAAGTGGTAATGATTAGACTTTAACCCAGGATTAGACTTAGTCCTGAGTCCCAAAAACCAACTATTATGGTTCCAAATAAAATTTGGTGTGTTCCTTGAGCAGTATTGCAAAAGATGTAGAGCTTACATAAGGTTTGTGGCAGTTTATTTGATTGTGGTTTCATCTCGGTGGTGAGAGGTGTGTCATAACAATATGAGAGTGTGTAGATTTGCCTCCGATTTTGGGCATTTGTCTGCGATTTCGCAAAACCTGTCGGCGAGTGAAAAATCGGGCTAAAATCGTGCAGTGTGAACTCGGCATAAAGTGAGTGTGTGATTTCGATATGAATTTCGGTGTGGTGGGTCTTTCCGAATGTTGTTATTCGGCTTGCTGCTTCCTGTCTGGTTCAGATTGGTCTCGAAGGAGACAAGATGGCCGCTCACAGTAGGAGTTTCTAACATAGATTAACTGCTGGCAGGAAACTGATTAAATTAGGCCAATTAGGGTGATAACAAGCTAAGCCCACTCATTTAAGAGGCAGCGACAGAGCACTGAACTCCCAAGAACTCCATGGGCTCTCAATGCAAGTGTGTGCGCTTGAGAGCAACAAAAGCTACGGGGATGTCAAAAGAAAGGGTTAATGAAGAAAACAGGAATGCTCTCAGATGGAATGAAAAATAAATCAGAGAGGGAAAAACTAGAACCTGTGCCCTCCTTCAGCTCACACATACACAAAGACTGCAGAATGGATCCCAAATCTCCATATATATTAGTTTTTCTTTAATAAGTACACACTTCTGAGATATAATCACACATTCACACTGAGCTGAAGCTGTAGGGCATTGGCTGTCATCACAACATCTGGTAATTGTGCTTGCTAGACGTCCGGAGATTAATGAGACATTACACATACACACTCTCTAGGGTATGAACAAACTATTTGAAATTTTAAATTCAGTTTTTGAACTGCTCGCTCCTCAGGGAAGTTGTTGGCCTCTGTTTGCTCTCCTGCGGAGTTCGAAAGGTTTTTGCCGTAGATGGCTAATGTTAGGCCAACTTTCAGCCACCCTAACGTCGGTGTCAAAGGCCCCATGAAATCAAAATTGGAGTGTGTTGGCTTTTAGCCCATTCCTACAATATAAAGATAGCTATATATTTTCATATAATAAGATACATTTATACAGTAAAAAATAAAAATGTGTAAACTATTTTCAGGAAAATATTTTATATTTAATTATTTTTTTATTAATTTATAAATATAAAAAAATATATATTGCATTTTTTTCAGTGCTCAATCATAGTAATTTTTAATGCAGAAACCTTAAAAGAAACATACAATTATGCCTGTGAATAGAATAATATAATCATGATTAATCTGATAATTTCTGAGCAGTCTTTAGAAAGCAGAATTTCATTCCCATTCAGATTTAAGTATTAACTTATTCTTTTACTATTTACCGGTATATAAATATTGATGACTCATCTTGCGCTATACAGATTTTTGTCCAATCAAATGCTCTCTACAATAAAATATCCCCGTCAATCTAGTTATCTTGACACTTCTAGTAAGCATACGTTTTCATCATCATTCATAAAACCTCTGAAATATCTGAAAGTGATTACAACAAAATCATTCTACTGTGTCATAATTATAATTGTGGTGTGGACATCCCTTTTCTCACAGAACTAGAACAATTATTTAAACTATATAGTTATGGTTATAGTTATTGTCCTTGGTGTGAACGGGCCTTTAATCCCTAAAAATCACATACAACAGGACACTAATGCTATCTGCTGTGCGTTCTGTAGGCGAGTGAGGACCGCGTCCACTTCATTGTGTCCCGCCAGACTCACATCCCTACTCCGGACATCCTACAGGAGGCGCCGTGGAACATGGAAGGACCACCGCCCTACTCGCCTGTGGATATTGAGCACTCTTTACTGGTGGGTTTCACGAGCATGAACCACACACTCTTTATTTCCCATCCCTCTGCACCGCTTTACTAAACATTCTCTTATTGAGGAAAAAGATCTGCAAGCCTATTACTTCTACATCAAAGAATCAAACAATCAGCCAGCTCACACGTGCGCGCACACACACACACACACACATACACACACACACTCCTTTGAGACAACCTATTAACAGAAGAAAACCCAGCAGGAGGAAACACAGCCATGGCAGGCTGGATTTCAGTGCTTCTTCTAAACGGGATTTTCTGCTGCTCAATATCTGCACTGACAACTTCCCTTAAGTGTCAAATTCATCGTTAGTTATTTCTCTCTCTCCCTTGCAGAACAAAAACTTCTCAGACCAGCTTGTGAGGGTTTGCTGGTTTAAGTGTCAATGACAAATAAAGGTGCAGTCACAATTACAGTTGTTCTGTGAATTTTCATAGATCAAATCCAGTAATTTCAATAGGATTCCTATTTGCAGTCTTTTTAAAGTTTAAACTTTTTTAACAATTTTATTTTATAAAGACTTATTGACCTTGACACACAGTAATGAGGATCTGCAGGGGTCCACTCTATGTTGTAATTTCCTGTTGTTTTTCAAATGGCCCAAAACCCCTATAAAACCAGTCCAGAACAAACCAAACCCTAACATTATATCTCTTCCACTCTCTCTTTCTTTCAATCACTTTTTGTCCTTTCAGTAACTCTTGTTAATTCTCTTTTACACACTTGGAGAGGTGGAAACATTCTGGCAGCATATAGTCAGAAGCTTTTCACTCCTCTGAATTAGACACGGCCTAAGACAGACACACACACACACACAGAGACACACACACAGAGACACACACACACACACACACACACAGTCTCTCGAGCGATAAGCCCAACACACTAACTCCAGATCTGATTCTCTGTAGCCGAAGGCTCAGACTAAATATAAACAGCCCTTTTATTGAACTTTAATAACGCTTTTTATTAAGTTAGAACTTAGCGACTGTGTTTGTTGTTCTTGGAGAGGATCCAAGGCAAAATCTGGCCACGGTCAGCAATAACACAGCGTCCTGCAAGCTCAACATTTATTACAAACACACAAGCACACACAATTTGGGCAGTCATGTGTTCAGAAAGTGTGAATCCAGATCATAGATTAAGAAACGTCATAAACCGAATAATTTGCACGGAAACTTTAGTGAATTCATCTTTCTCATTTCCTGTCCCTCCATTTCAGGATTCATGCCAAAAGCCTGCATGTTACGAGAAGACGGTGACTCTGCTGAAGGAGCCGCATGATTCTCTCGGAATGACGGTCGCGGGTGGGATGAGCAGCAGGGGATGGGATCTGCCCGTCTACGTCACCAACGTCGACCCCAATGGAGTGGTGGGACAAGAAGGCTCGATCCGCAAAGGTACAGCCTCACAAAGTGTGTTTAACTTATTCAGACACATCTGACAAAGCTGCGCGGGCACACCTGTTTCCAAGGTGCCCCTCTGATCTTTCCTCCTTTTGAATGCAAGTACACACACAAACAAAGACACACCTGCTACTGCATATGTATGACCGTCATCAGCTCTGCAAATATATGCATATAACACTAGAAATTAACACACTCCCACTCGTACACCTGCCATACTGCTAAATCTGTCTCTGTCATACTCACAATTATCAGCTTCAAACTGAGCGTATGGAAGTTTTTCAGGTTTATTTCTGTCATATGTGACATGTATGTAGGCATGTGAAAGTGTGATCATGCACAGGCTGGTGTATGGAGGCATTGGTTTAAAGTATCTTCAGATACAGACACACACATGCAAGATCAAAGCTTTGAGTCTTTATATGCTGTACAAAGGTGGGGTAAGCTCAGTGTTTGAACTGAGCCAGAACCTTCAGGAGGGTCTGATATTTGGAAGAAAGTAGGTTTTAGAAAGTGCATCCTGTAAAGTGGGTAAGCTGGTAATAAACTACAACTAGTTACTCTTTCTATGCATCTATGCATTTCATGCTTTACCAGGTATTATGTATTTTATTCTCTAGCGTTATAACTATCGACATTGGGTTTTAATTTATTAAAAATAAACGCTTTACCAGGTATTATGTATTTTATTCTCTAGCGTTATAACTATCGACATTGGGTTTTAATTTATTAAAAATAAATGGAATGTATTTTATTAAAAATAATCATATATATATACTAAAGTTTGGGGTCAGTAAGATTTTTTAAATATGTTTTTAAAATCTGCATTTACGCAGGCTGCATTTATTTGATCAGAAACACAGTAAAAACATTAATATTGTGAAATATCATTACATTATTTAAAATAGCTTTTCTATTTTAATATATTTAAAAATGCAATTCATTCCTGTGATGGCAACTTTCAGCAGTCAATACTCCAGTCTCTTCAGTGTCACGTGATCCTTCAGAAATCATTCTCATTATGCTGATTTGATACTCGAGAGACATTTCTCATTATTATCAATGTTGAAAACTGTTGTTTTGCTTATTTTTTGTGGAAACAGTGATACGTATTCTTTAATGAATGGAAAGTTTAAAAGAATATCATTTATTTGAAAATATTTTGCAACATTATAAATGTCTTTACGGTCACTTTTGATCAATTTAAGGCATCCCTTGCTGAAGAAAAGTATTAATAAAAAAAATATATTATGACTGACTGAATGAATGAATTAATAAATAAATAGCTTACACTATACACAAAGCAGCACAGCAGCTGACTTTGAAACGTGCAGCGCTCATATTTAATCAATGAAATGAGAGCCTTTTTAAGTTTCAAGGTCACATTAAGCCATGTTGCAATTCTGGTCTTTCCGTCCCCAAATTTAAGACCTCTTGAAATCATAATTAAGACTTTCTTGTACCATTTAAGACTTTTTATGGCCTTGAATTTGATACAACTAAATGTAAAACTTTTTAAGGACCCGCAGAAACCCTGTACTAAATGTATAAAACAATATGCAGTTAAAAATGACCCAATTTACATTCAAATCACATTGTGCAGGATTCTTGTTTGCACATTATTTTATTGAAAATTGAGGAAAAATACATTTAAATCATATCTTCTCATCAAAGAATTGTCTCCTATCAACACAACTCTGCCATGCAACAACAGATCTGTTATGGTCCTATGATGTGACTATCCCGTCTTCTAGGTGACATCCTTCTAATCGTGAATGGGGTTGACCTGACGGGTGTGACTCGGAGCGAGGCTGTGGCTAACCTGAAGAACACCTCGTCCCCAGTGGTCCTGCGGGTACTAGAAATGAGACCCCCAAATGAGAGCTCCCTGGACTGCATGCTGCCCCTGCATTCCCCCTGCGCTCTCTCGCCCTCTTCACCCGGAGACATCAAACTACCCCCGCCTAATGATGACTACTCCCCCCTCTGGGTGTCCTGGCTCCAGCTACCCAGGTACACTGAGCAGAAGTCACACAAAGAAAAAGACAAATTAATTAGAATTAATTTTATTTGAATTAAGTTATATATATATATATATATATGTGTGTGTGTGTGTGTGTATAAATGTACTGCTGTTTTCTTCCCTTCTCACACCAAATGTGATGGAGTGTGAAAGTTCTTAACTTCCCAAATTATTTCATATGCATAATAACTGAGAAAGTTGTGTGTAGGGGAGAAAGAGAGAGTAACAGGGGAGAACAGAGCAGGGTTGAGGAAAGCCCTTCTCACCCTCTCTGCTGTAACAGGTTTAGACGCTTGAGAGTGTGACGGCTTTAAATAGACCTTTCTCTTCCATTCCCTGAACTTTTCTTAGTTCTGCATCTTTCTTTCCTTTACACATTTGTCTGGTCTCCATTTCTACATCATCTCATTTCACAGAAGTCCACTTTAAATCTGAGCTCTGAGCTTTCATGCTGTTAGACTGGTTGATATGGTTGATATCTGGCCTTCGATATTTTAAATATCTATAACAGTAGCATTTTTGCAGAGACTGTAAATCTTTAAACACAAATCAATTCTTTCAGTGTTGCTCGCCATTTGATGCTCACTTATTTCCCCAAGATATCCAAAAGCTCCTTCTGAATCTTTTATTTATTATGAATTTCTCTCTTCACTCCAGCTCCTGAAATGCACCCCTATATTACTCCCTTAAATGGATAGTTGAACCAGAAATGATAATTCTGTAAAATCAGGCTAAATTAGTTAACATTAGCTACTGCATTAAGCATCAGGTAATGATACTGTAAACAACATTTTATTAATCTAGGTAAATGACACTTTACACAGCACTGTGGGTAATCTGGCTGCATCTCATTCTCCTTTCTTTTCTCCCATTGCTTTCTGTCTCAATCACATTGTTCTTGTTTTTCCATTTTTCTTTTAAAATAATAATAATAATTATATTTTATACAATCATACTTTATACAATATAATTTAAACAAAATGTATTTATATACTGTATATGGAATTTTATCAAATGTATTCATATATTTACAGAAATTAACAATAATCAAAATACCTTTTTAATGATAAAAACAACAACAGCCCAGTTTAAAATGTATTTATACTGTACATCAGAAATGAACTATCACTGTCCCTTTTCTTTTTTATAATAATAATTTTAAAAAATTATTAATTAAATGTATTAATACTGTATATGCAGAAATTAACAGTAACCAAGATTATTAAAGGATGTAAAAGTATTGTCCATACAGTAGTACCCAATGCTTTAGCTAAGGTTAACGAATTACACCTTAATGTAAAATGTTACCAGAAATTATATTAATATTTACCTTCATTTTGTTTCAATAGAACATGACAATAACAATCAGTCACTTTCAATCAGTTACCATTAAAAAAAGATGCAATAAAAGTGCATCGTTTCATGTCTAGGTGAACTATCCCTTTAAGTGTCCTTGGTGAATAATTTGTTGATTTATCAATGTCTGCTAAATGACAATAAAATTAACCTTGAATTTTCTGTCCATTCCAGGCATCTATACTGCTGTAAAGACATTGTCCTCCGCAGGAGCACATCTGGCAGTCTGGGTTTCAGTATTGTGGGTGGACAAGAAGAACGCAACTGTAACCAGTCCTTCTTCATCCGCTCTATCGTAGAGGGCACACCGGCCTACAACGACGGCAGGATACGGTACAGACACTTAGATATGTATATGTCTACTATTGTCGGAAACCATGCTTTTTGTAGAACAACTATAAATAAACTGCCTAGCACAGTTTATTCAATACAACTTTTTTTTTTTTTTGCCTTTACCCTCATTCTTGTCACGACTCCAACATACTAAAACTTAATACCTTTTTCTTTTTTTTCAAATTAGCTGTGGAGACATCCTGCTGGAGGTGAACGGGAAGAGCACTTGGGGAATGACACACACGGCTCTGGTCCGCCTGCTCAAGGAGCTGAGGGGTCGGATCACTCTCACCATCGTTTCTTGGCCCGGCAGCCTGCTATAGGACTACTCTGCGTGAGGGAGGAGCTTATCACATTGACGCTGCACTAGGGGGTGGAGCTTACACCACAGACCTTATAATGACAAATAAAATGGTGGATTTTAGAATCCGAGACTTCCTTGAAAGGCGGGGCTTATGATACAGACTGCCCCCCGGGAGCAGGAAATGACACATGGACCTCATTCAGGTACTAGGAGCTCAGACTCTAAACTTGAAGGCGGAGCAAATGACTTGACTCCGCCCACTAAGAAGCACGTTTATCACACTCCGAAACCAGGAGGCGCTTTCACAATTGCCCTTTTGTCAGTCGGCAAGGGTTTGCTGACAAAGATGATATTTGTGCATGAGAGGAACATTGTGTCGTTATAGATGGAAGGTGGAGATTGTAATCTGTATTAAAGGAATTGGGAGGGTCTGAAAACACAATTTCAGTATGTAATGAGGAGCGCGTCAGTCAGTAAATGAGTTGGAAATAGATGTATAAACATTATGGGCACTGTGCTATATGTAGTCAGATTGTGTGACTCTAATGTTGTTTGTAGAGGACGTTGAGATGCTGCACATGAGAGGGGTTTTCTTCAAATGAGAGGTGAAAGGGATACTGGAATGTGTAGGGTTTGGGTGGGGGACACACATTGCCAATTCCATTAGTTTTACATGTTAGAAAATGCATCGAAGTGGACGCACATTCTTTACTATAAACGTCGATGTCTGAAAAAATAATGAAACAGATTCAAGCACTTGTACTAGTGACTAATATTACTTTTGGTTTATTTCTCTCTCAGTTCCAACGGCTTTCAGATTTCGGCTTCGTTTTGTTCATTCTGACAGTGATTCATTCTCTCCATCCACTGGCATGGAGACACATTTGCCAAGTAGTTCTATCTATGTTGGTACGTTTCAGATGCTGTCGCATATGAAAATAAACTATAGTGAGTAATAAAAAAATAATAGCAACCGAAAAAAGAAAAGCAATGTTAATAATCTATTTTAAAAATGGATGATAACTTATAATGCTTATAATGATAACATGAGATTTTGGTGGCCTTGCTGACTTTTTTGTTTACTTTGGAGAAGAAAGGACAGAGTGGTGTGTGAAAGGCTTACTGTGTGAGTGTGTATGGGTGTGTGTGTGTGTGTCTAGGTATCATTATGGGGTAAGGTGCGTGCTCTGGCATCTCATGCTTTGGCTTGTGCAGTATATTGTATCTGTTGGTACCTTTGGTTCAATGATCAATAAAGTCCTTTGGTTCAAAAGATCAATAAAGACTTGTGTTACTGTCTCGTGTTCTTACTGTGCACTGTGTGTGTGTGTGTGTGTGCATATAAATATATATTTATACAAACACACACACACACACACAAATATATACTAACTACCATTCAGTTTGGGGTCGGTAGGATTTTAGTTTGTAAAGAGGTTCACAAAGGCTGGATTTGTTTGTAATAATATTTCACAGTATTATTGTTTTATTGTATTTTTATATCAGTTTAAAGGAACTTTTCTATTTGAATAGATTTTAAAATGTAATTTATTCTTGTGATGGAAAAGCATCATTTTCAGCATCATTACTCCAGGCTTCAGTGGCACATGATCCTTCAGAAAACATTCTATAATGTGCTACTTTGGTGCTCAAAAAATATTTCTGATTATTATAAATGTTGAAAACAGTTATGCTGCATAATATTGTTGAGAAAATCATTTTTTCAGGATTCTTTGATGAATAGAAAGTTTACTGTCAGTTTTGATGACTTTAATGCATTTTTGCTGAATAATGTATTAATTTAAATTAATTTTAAGGTCAGTACAGCTGTTGGCGTTCTCCACTCTAAATCATGTTTCACACACATTTACATTTCTTGATCATGTTTATAATGATTTTGCTTAAACAAAATTAACATTTGGCACAACAAAAATACCATTTTGTATTATCAAAACAATTATAAATCAATGATAAAATAAATTAATAAATTAAAAATAGTATACTTTGTTGACCACCTTTACCTTTTTTAAATCATATTTTCAAGAAATTAAATGTTAAATTGCTAAAACGGTAACATAAATAGGCTTATCAAGTGTTTGGCATACTATTAATCAAAATCTATTCACAGTTGGTCACTCAGGCTGTGACTGGTGACAAGACTAATGATCTTTCACTAAAGACCTCCTACTGGTCAACAAACGGGCTCACCAGCTGGCCAGGGAGTTATTCTGTGGCCTCTGACTGGTTCTCCTGGTCCACATTGCACTCCTCGCTGGGCTCAAGGCTTCCTCGGTTGTGTCTAGAGCGTTTGTGCCTGTGTTTCCTGTGGCTATCTGCGTCATCACTATCATGACGCCTCCTACTGCTCCCACTAATGAGAGTGACAGAGAGAAGAAGGTCACATGATCTATATATATTATGGTTATATAAGATGCTTTGCCCCCAATGAATATCACCTTTGTAGGCCCTTTTGTGTGCTTGTGTGTGTGTTATTCTGCATGATGTGACTGACGTGAAGCTCTAAATGGCATGTTTTGTATGTGGACATATTGTACATGCATTTGTTGTGGTGTTTTGTGTGTAAATTTGTACAAAAGGATATTGGGTATTATATGTGAGAATTTCCCCCCTAATTAAGGGACAATTTTTATGAATTAATATTAAATACATTTTCCGGGCATTTTTACAGTACCTCTAAGGAGTAAAAATAAAAAAATAAAAATGTATCTGAAAAATTATGGATGTTATTTATATAATCAAAATCAACATTAAATTCAGAAACAGCTCTAAATAATGTTCAAGATGTCAGTATACAGAAATTATCTGTTGGAATAAATGTTGAATATTTTCCAATTCCTGTATGAGATTTTACGACTTTCTACTGTCTACCGTCACCGTAAATTTGGTCACACTTTATTTTAAGGTCCAGTTATCACTATTATCTAACAATTAACTACGACTTTTGCCTAAATAAACTCCTATTTACTGCTTATTAATAGTTAGTAAGGTAGCTGATAAGGTTAGGTATTGGGTAGGTTTAAGGATGTAGAATATGGTCATGCAGAATATGTGCTTTATAAGTACTAATAAACAGCTAATATGCATGCTAACAGCAACTAGTTAATAGTGAGAATTGGTCCCTATACTAAAGTGTTACTGTAAGTTTAGATCAACCACTGAAAAGCACTATTAGCTACACATTCAGCAATATTTGACTCTGAAACAGTGAATACAGATGATAGCTACAGGTCACTATGGTGTCAGTAAAGGAATGAAAGGGATAGTTCACCCAAAAATCTAAATTCTGTCATTAATTACTCACCCTCATGTCGTTCCAAACCTGTAAGACGTTCGTTCATCTTCGGAACACAAATTAAGATATTTTTGATGAAATCTGAGAGCTTTCTGACCCTACATAGAGAGCAATGAAACTGAAACGTTCACAGGCCCAGCACCGTAATAAGGGCATCGTTAAAATAGTCCAAATGACATCAGTCCTTACTATGTTGCAGGGCCTTGAACGTGATGGTTCCCTTGCCTTCTGTCTATGCAGGGCCAGAAAGCTCTCGGATTTAATCAAAAATATCTTAATTTGTGCTCCGAAGATGAACGAACGTCTTACAGGTTTGGAACGACATAACGGTGAGTAATTAATGACAGAATTTCCATTTTTTGGGTGAACTACCCCTTTAAACCCATAACTAGATAGGATTAGAATAGAATATTATGAAATAGATATCAAATGTTAGATAACAGATAAAAAAAATTGAATGTTCACTGCAGGGACTTTTTCTGCCCATCATCTAGGGCATTTTAGTCACCTTTGGTATTTTTCTTTTACTGTCCAGCACCCTGGTGAATTTCTGACCCGGTGATTTACCTGCGTGAGGATCTGTGTTGTTCATTCCTGTCTCTGTGTCTTCTTTCTCGATGTCTGTCTCTCACTCCTTCTTTTCCCGAGCTTTCTTGGTACCTCTCGCTTCCGTGATGACGGTGATCCCTGTGTCGAGACACACGCTCCTCCTCACTGCACACACATGTACGAACACACTCATTAGTATTGAGGGAAAATAGTGCATCAGTCTGTTATAAAACAGAGCAAGATGACTCGGTTAGCTACATAGGCAGGGCAGCATCCTAACTGTCAAGGAACCTCACAAGCGATCGTTTGGAATGCTCAAACTTTGTACGCCACACAAGTAACACTCTCCATGGCAAACTGGCAATTGTTTTCAACAGAGTTTGACTTTAGCATGTTGCTAAGCTAATGGCAGTTTCTAAATCATTACGATTGTAAACTGACTTCTAATAAGATGAATGGCTTCTGTTAGTTTCCCACACTCCAGATGGGACAAACTACCTTGTTTTATAAAACAAAGTAGTGAAACTGAAAGACTAAAGGTTTGTTCACACCTAAAAAGGAAACAATAACTATATTAGCCTGCCACTTTAAGTGCTCAAACATCGAGTGGATTCTAATTGGCTGTCAATGTTTTTATCGTTTATCACCTAAAAATATTCTGAAAGTGATTTCAATGCTATTGTTCCTCTGTGTTGTTATCGTTATAACTGTTGTGTGGACTTTTTTTTTTTTTTTTTTTACAACGATCAATAAAGTTATCATGATAGTTATCATCCTTGGCATAAACAGGCTTTAAAGCTAGTGGAAACTTCTTCATTTTTGCTCCAATATTATCTAAACACTTACTCAATAAATGTTAAAATGTTACACTTGTCAGGTATCATTTTATCATTAAGAACTTCATATTCCAATCTAAATAAGATGTAAGAATGAAAGTAGTTCCAGTTTTAATGTAGCTTCCCCAACACGGTTAATATATATCGTACAATTGGAATTACTGATTAAATTCAAATATATTAATATTCTTGTGCATATTAACAGGATTATTGTCACACAAACACACTGCATCTCTCTGAAATGGCTCAACCTGCAGCTGTTATGATGTACAGTATTCTAATGAATGGCTCCGAGTACACATTTACCACATTCTCACTTTTTCTCTGTGCACATTCACACAGAAAAAGAGAGAGACAAAGAAGAGACAAACTCAATCACTTGATCACTCCGTCTGTAATTAGCAGTCAGTTGAAACCTCCGGCCCGCAGGTGCAGTGCTATAGATTAGTCTTGGAAACACTAATTAGATCATAGGGGACAAAAGACTTTGTGGTGGCAGTGGTCAGTGTGGGGCACTTGTGCAGTGTGCGCGATCGCTCCACACAGCCAAATGTTTTTTGTTTCACACAAAGGCACCATTCACCCAAAAATGAACATTCTGCTGCTATAAACCTTTCAGGTGAACTTGCTTCGACGGCTTTCCGCCTCACTCTGCTTCATACTACGACGTTAATAAGTCTTTAATACATTAGCTCATCCATGAACATGATTTCTGCCCGAGTCCCATCGGATTGCTTCGGCTGTGGGGATGAAGACGACAACTCCCATGATTCCACACTCAGTCACGGCATCATCTAACTACGCCTTTGTTTCTTTGATTGTTTTGAATACGTGCCCTCTAGTGGCAAAAAAATTATATATTGTGCCTTTAAGTAACTCCGACGTTTCCTCTCTTTGCATTTCTCAGTTAGTCAAATGATATGTTATTGTTAGCAGTTGCTGCTGCAAGGCCAACATGAATCTGTGTTTTCATCAAATTGTTCATGCTGTTTATTAATAAGAATTAGAACCATATACATGCCCCTCTGGGACTTATAAATGTATAAAGGCACAATGAGTAAAACATGATGTGATTGTCTCTCTCTCTCTCTCTCTCTGTCTGTGTGTGTGTGTGTGTGTGTGTATGTGTAGGTGTCGTGCCAGCTGGACTGAAGACAGGCCAGTCCTCTCTCTACGCCACAGGAATGAGATCATATCTAGGGGACAAGTGTTCACCAAATGTCCAACCAGTTGCTAAGAGCATTACCAGCCAGATTAAAAGAGAGAGAGATTGAGTGAGGGAAAGGGCTAAGTGAGAAAAGAAGAAAGAAGTTAATGAAGCAGATTGTCAGTGCAGGTGTTGTTGATCTCTTTGTGCTGATTTTGCTCTTGAGTTCGGCCCTGTTTACACCTGGTATTAACATTCACCTTGGGTGATCTTATCATGAGTGATCAGGCAAAACAAATTAATCACAATAAAGGTACCTGTTTGATATTACAAGTACTATGAAAGAATTCATCTTTGGATGTGCCCATCTATGACTTAAGATATTTAGTTTGAGGTACTAAGCTACTGTAGATAATCATGAGCAGAACTATATA